CGGCGCACAAACCATAAACCCCTAAAGAAATCCAGGTCAGGGGAGAAGGCAGCCTCCTTCGCAGTCTAGGTAGGGTTCAAGTGTGGTTGAACCCTTTAGTGACCATCACTGTACACCTAGGTTAGGAATGTTTTCTTGCAGTTTCATAAGCATAAATAATGTCTAGCAGGGTAAGGACTTTTCTATATCCTTCCCAGGTTAAATTCCAGTTGGGAACAAATACTTAGGGAATTTCCACAGTATCCTTTTGCCGTCTGGAGTTAACTAGTAATCAATCAACTTATGTGAAGTTTTAAATACAGGCATATCCCAAAATGGCAGCCCATTTGCAAGGCTAGAGGAACCCCATGAAACTGTACCAAGCACGTAACTGAAACAGTAGTCTCTGAACTACCAAACTGACCTGCTGGTCTTGTCGTCCCGGCACAGATGGGTTTTGGTTTGTCCTTTGCAGTGTCCGCAGTTTTTCAAGTAAAAACAATTTATCTCTTCCTGCCTGTGGTCAAGACACATTTGATCATTAGCTGGAATGGACTAATCATTCTTGAGAGGCTCAAGGCCTATGAGTAACCATAGACCAGAATAATAATTAAAATTCCTTTTATTCTGAAATAATCTGTCTACAGAGGGAGCTGCAGCAGCACAGCTTGAAGGCAAAATTATTTTGCAACAACTCTATTTGTCAGTTAAGTTTCCCTGCAATTCCCATGGGGGAAGACTCCCACCCTCTCTTGAACTGTCATAGGAAAAGCAGATTGCAGCTCTGCAATAGCAGGATGAGACAATCAACAAAGAAGCCAAATTTCAAGAAAGATAAAGCTGAAAGTCAAACTTACATTAATAATTTGCTTATGTAAGAGTTTGGTCATGGTCTTTCTTCCTTCTGTTATTTGCCAGTAAAGATAAGAAATAATTCTAAACAAACAAACAAAAACATGTCAAACATATGAGCACTCATACCCATGAGTATTTCCTCCCACTCATTGCCTAAATGGAAAGTTATCTTGTTTATTTTATCCATTAAAAGATATATACACATATCTATACATGCATATATATACACACACAGACACATATATTTTTAAAAGTATGTTTATAATTACACAAGGAATGGCAAACACATGAAATTGCTTCAGAAATTCTCTTGGAAAAGACCCAAAGGTTTATGGACTTGTATTCCAGATGAGAGGTACAATTCAAGTAAGTCAACAATACAAGGTGCATTTCAGATAACAAATAGGCACGTAATGTGCTTATCCAGCTTTGTGTCATTTGCTTAGACATGTGCCTGGACCTTAAATCACAACACTGAACACTTATTGCTTCCAGGCCAATCCTGGTCCCACTACAATGAGCAGGATCTTGTTTTATGAGAACAGGATTTGGCTCTTAGGTGTGTATGGCCCACGCTAGAAACGTCAAGCAGCACAGCTCCAACATCAAACCCTACCCATGCACACATAGCTTAATCTGCACATCCTGGTTTTGCCAAAATAGTTTTCTTCAGCCAAGGGGCCAGGAATTCACCTGAGACTAGCTGGAAGCAGACTGCAACCTACTTACTAGCATTTCCCCATACAGTGAGCTCACTTGAACCTGCTGCTTGTGCGCTACCACGCCCTTCCATTGCAGTGTCCCTGTGGTAGTTCAGCAATTCTTTACATGGTATCATCTCCTCTAATAATTCCACTGATGAGAAATGGTCAGAAAACACACCTCCCATATCTGGAGCCCCAATCCCAGATCTGGAGCCTAGGCAGCAGGAAACTAGAAATATTCAGTTAAAAGCAGTGTATCCCAGGGTCAGCATGAAGCTGGTTTGTAAAGAGCTTCAGCACATTAACATAAAAGAAACAGGTTTTATAACTTCTTTATGTACTTCAAACACATGAATTTCCAATATATTAACCATTTCTGATGCTTTAAAATGCACTTTGCTTTTTTTTTTTTTTTTTTTTCCCTATGAAGAATGGCTATGTCATAGCCAGTTTTTCCCCTTCAGGTCCTTTTCCAGTGCTTTTCACTAGCAGGTACTTACAGGACAAGAACGGACAGGATGAAGAAGAAAAGTTCACTTGTGATTAAGTTATAGTAGATCCACACTACCCATTTTGAGGCAGTGTGCTTTTCCAGTACTTTTATCCAGACAGAGACTGCAGCATACATAGATGACAAACCTCTGAAAGGACCACATTCTTCTGAAGGTTTTAACCTGAAAATGTGAGAAAACAGCTACTTAAAGCTTCATATATTAACCAGTGATGTAGTTAATATTGTGATTTTGTACATCAAGGTGCTTGTTAGTTGGCTATAGCCCTCTGCTCTCTTTGGACCCTCAGGGAACTACCATGATCTATGTTTGATTTTTAACTTGGGTCACTCCCCAGCCATTAAAATGCCCACCCCAGACTACAGAGTGAGAGACAAGAGACCCTGCTGCAATGGATCAGTACCAAGCCCTGCTGACACAATCTTGACCTAAATGTAACAAGTCAATCACTGTAGCACAAGATACAGCAAATTGAAAATCTGGATTTTCAAATTTTCACCACAGGTGCTTAAGGGAACCATAATTTCACCTTGCCTTCGAGGACATGAGTCACTGCAGATTTTCAGTAACAGCAGGATGTGGTGAAGTAAGGAAGCCCATAGCAAGAATTAACATTTTCAGGTAGAGTTAAATAGGAAAGTGCTGTTTGCTTTGAAATTGAACCACTCTAGACAGTCTCAGATTCCCACCTGCCATCTGGAAATGTTTGCTCTGAAATATTTCATCCCACCTGGTTTCATGTGGAGCCACCTGTCTTACTAAATATGGAAATCATGTGTCTGAGAATTGCCAAGAAAAAGAAAAAGGGTATCTGTGCTGCCCACCTTACTGTGACCAGAGTAACATGCCCATAAACAAAGCAGCTCTAAAATACTGGTAACAACCAGGATTTTTGCAGAGGTCAGCACTCCCTGCATAAAGAGCCCTTGAAGTTCGTAAATAATCCAAAGTTGACCTCAACTGAATTTTTCCATGTTTTTCTCCACTGCAGACCAATATGGTCTATAACATAAGAAAGTCCAGGAGCTAGGGCTAGGTTGCAGAAACTTTTAAGGAGGAGGAAAAGCCAAATTTTGCCCTGATATTTAAATAGGAACCCAAAACTTCAATGCAACTTTGTTTCTCCCCCCACTTTCTTATGGGACAAGTTGCTCCATTAAGCACATTCTAGCAAACTCACTGAGCTTGTCTTGTTTTCAGAATATAAAACATCCCATGAACATCTGAAACCTTCCATTAGCAATTAATACAGCTTTTTCTATTAAAAAGAAAGCAGATTCCTCTGCCTGGTATCAGGTGACACAGCATAACACAGTAGGCTTGAATGGCAGCGATCTTCCATACCTCCAGACAGTGACTCCAATGACACACAGGACTCCAAGGAAGGAAGGGAAAAACAGCAGGAACATGAAGGATGTTGTCATTTGAGCAGTTCTCCAGACTTTGCGAGGGGGTTGGCAATTCATCATCAGACTGACCTTTAAAGAGATGAAGGCACACTGACTCTTGGGATGGTGGTACCTACCACTTCACCTCGGTTTAAGTCAATCAAGAATACAGTCTTCAAACAGTAAGAAGCTAAATGAGGTTCTGATGGGTTCTTCAGGACTCCCTCCCCAAAACCCAGTTGACCAAACTGCTCCCCTAAATGCAAAACCCCACAGCCTCCAGACAAAACCAGCATTTTAATACAATTAATTCTGCACAGATTTCAAATAGTGCAAGTTTATGATGAAGAGATGTAAAGCTTGTTACCTTTTTCACATAAAATACTATAAAAAATGAAATCATCTGGATACCAGGCAGCAGAGGTGAGAAGAGGATACCGATCCTACAAGAAAGGATTTATAAAGAAAAAGTTAAATCTTCACAACTCACCACACAGCTCTCAGTGCACTGAAAGCAGAAAATATCACACTAACTTAATCTACAGTTAGTGTTTGGGAAATGTAATTATATTAACATTGATCCTGTAACAGTAAGTCAACCTTTAAAAACACGCAACTTCAAACACACATATCTATGTACATATCTGCACAACTCTCCTATAGAGTAACATACTCATTCACAGCAATAGGGCATCTTCTCCATCCAGGGTTTAACACTGAGACTATTTCAATAGGAACACCATTCCAGGGGGAAAATTAACAAAACTCCGGGATGTTCCTTTTATGGGTTTCTCCCAGACCAGGTGGCCACAGGGTAAACTACTGACTGAAGTTACTGTTCTTACCTGTGTAATTACAAAGAGAACTGGTAAGTCACAATCCTTACAAAGGTACTTAATATGTCATCTCTCTCAGGCATTTATCCTTTCCTCCACGGTGGGAAGCACCCAGAAATGTCAGAATAAGAATGTTCCATGGTATTTCTAAGTGCAAATTAAGTTTTGGCTGTAAATGTAACACTTACCAGGTCAAAGTCTGTGCATAGATCAAATCTAAAACATTTCGTCCAATATCAAACTCTGGCATCCCCAGGCTCACACAGACTGTAGTTCCAATAATTCTTGGGGAGAAAAATAAAAAAAATCACATAACAATGGCATTTCCTAAATAACAAAACCTTTTGTAGAAATCTCCGCAAATGGCCTCCTGAGTACAAGCATCAGTGACAAATTATTTAGGGGCTGCATTAACCACACGTCATGCAAAGCAGCCACAGCTCATTGATTAGACAGCCCATCAGAAATAAAACTGAATGTGGCCATAGCAGATTCCCGTAACACACAGCAGGGCTGAAATAAAACCTAGGATATTTTTCATGCAACTCAAAAAAAAAAAAAAAAAAAAGAGAGAGAGAGAAAAAGGAGTTGTTACTATATCAGAAAAGTATGCTTATGCAGAAACAGTTGAAATGCCTAGTTGCGTCAGTACAAAACCGTAACAGCTTTTCAGTTCCTGAGAATTTTCAGCCTCAATCAAAAAACTGAATCTTCTAGACCGATACTCTTAATATATCCTAAAGTATATCCTACTTCAAACTAACTGAGGCTCCAAGTAACTGAGACATAAGCAAGTACTCAGAGGATTCCTACTGAGGACCAACAACCCCTTTCTATCACCTCATTTTTCCTGAGCTAGGGAGATTCAGTTTCTGCTTGTTGTAGCAATAACAATACAGATTTTGGTAACTATCTCCTCTCGCCTTGAATACAGGTCTTGGTACTACCTTGTCAGCTGCATTATTAATATTTCAGGGCTGGACTTTCAGGGGGTTACTCTGAATACATACAAATAAATACAAGCAATTGTACTTTTAATCTTGCACGGCTGTAAAGTCGGGTGCTTTTGCACAGCTTAGTGGAGGACATTCATCACAGCTGACACTGCAGTTTTGGTACCATGACCTTTTACTGGGAGGTGGTTTCATATCTCAACAGAACGAGAACACTGGCAAGAGCTGTGGAGGGAAAGTCTTCAGGGGCTTCTCAGGGTTGTTTTGTGTTAATTTAACATAAAGTTAATAAAGTCCTACCCTGTAAACCAGTCTTGTTCACATCATGTGCACAATGGCTCTCCTACACAAGTATGGCCAGGAATCCTAAATGCTCTGGAGAGCTGGCAAGCACTTAAATACTCTACTACCTTAAGTCATAAATAATGTTTGGCAACAGGAAGGTACACACAGCAGACGTCAGAAGTAAACGACTTCTTGCCTACATGCTTAGCTATATTCACGTTCATTCAAAAATACTTTCTCACTTACCATGCTGCAGAACTCTACACTTGAGAGTCACGTTAAATCCTTAATAAGACTGATTAAGATAAGATTTTAAACTTATGTTCACTCTGTAGAGTGACATAACTAAGAGGAAAAAAATTACAGGGGGACTTACCAAGGAAAGCCAGCAGTGTGTCTATGCATATGCAGAAAAGCAAGGTTTTCTGCTTGAGATACCTGTTCATTTATCACCCCATTCAGGAGACCCACGGGAGTACACTATGCCTTCCTCCCTGCCTGTGTTTCTGTATCCAAAGGAAAGGAGGACACATTGGGAGAGTAGAATGGTGCACACTCTGACCTCCTCCTAAGAAGGAGCTGCAACATACACAAGACATGCACCCGAAGGCTATGCCTGGTAGAGACAATCAAGGAAGCTTCAGTGGTGCCACAGCCATTCTCCTGTTGGACTTCTCCTTTTCTCACATTGGAAGAAAAGACTATGTCTTTAGTGTCTTTGGTTAATGAATAAAAACAAGATTAGAAAAGTAGTACTCACCTTCGTAAAAACTCTCCAAAGAAAGAGCCAAGCAAAATAAATATGAAGTCAACTAGAACAAGATGATAGATATCTCGGCCAACCAGAGTTTCCCAGCACTTTAAGAAGCAGAAGGGAAAAAAAAAAGTAAACGTAGAAGTCAAAAATCATGCGATTCTAACATTGTTCCCAAATGCTTGGGCATCTGAAGCTTGGGCTACAGATCAAGGATTTGATAACAGCGTGACTAAGCATAGTCGACCTCTCATTGAACAATGCTGCAAACAAGCTGGGAGCTGAGTTGGGTGATTCATTTTTTCCTAGAGTTTCTTCCTCTAAAAGATGCTAATAAAAAAAAAAAATGTTGGGGTGGCAAATTCAGCTTTCCAAGACACTACATGTACTTCTCTTTGCTGCAGCAATGATCTTATCAAAGTGGCTCCTAACCTGGCACTGTAAGTCAAAGGTTTGTATTTCTGAAACTTTACCTGTGTCTCTGATGCAGCCACAATATTAAGCCAGTAGTAGCACAGTATTCCAACAATTGATATTTTCAGGATGATATTTCTAAAAAGAAAAAGTAACAGTAACTGAACAGACAGCTTGTCCATAAGTGCACTGGAAGGAATGATGGCAGGATGACCATTGGTTACACTTCATTACCTCCCCTTATAACAACAAGAGCACTGCTGAGTGCCAGGACTAGCAGGAGCTCTCCTCGGAGCTCAGGTGCAGCATTATCCTATTGTCCTTGCAGAAGGGGAGCTGGGTGTGACAACCTCGGCACAAGCCTCTCCTAAAGAGGCTGCTGGTTGAGTGTGTGAGCTCCAGAGGTGAGGAAGGTCTGAGCAGCACCAGAGGTTATAGAGTGTTAAGTCCAGGCATCTGTATTTAAGTAAGACCTCCTCACTCCTCTCTCCCCTTCCCTTCTTTTCCCTGGGGGACCAACAACCGAGGGGCCATTTAGGGAAGCTACAAACAAAACCAAGCCCAGTGTCACAGTGTGCCTGTTTAGAGGGAAATCATACCACATCCTTATGCAGAGAAGTAACACTTCAGAAGGCTCACAGAAGACAAAACATGGAGAGAAGACTGTACATAAGCCTTTGGGGAAGATGAATTCTCCTCCATAGCTCCCTACTGCCCACCACACCACCTAGACACAGCTTGCTGTCAAAAAGAAGAGTCAGACAGCTTCAGGCAAAAAGCACTAAGAGGTGATAGCAACAAATACCTGGTAATAGTGATATATATCTGGTGTCCGGGACTCTGAAATCTCTCCAGGCGTCCAAGCCACGAGTAGAAGAATGGGATGAACGTGTTGAGGAGAGATGTGACAACAGGCAGCACCAAGGTGGCAGCTTGGTTTTCTAGGTCTTTTTTATACACTTTCACAAACAGCTTAGAGAGGAAAAACAAACAAAAAAAACCCCAAACAAACAAACAACTCCAACTTAGAGCCTTAACCAAAGTGCTGCCTCAAGTTGTGTCCACAGGGAAGACACCTGGCATGCCCCCTTGTATGTTCTCAGGTTAGACACTATTGGGTTTTATAGGCCCATGTCCAGCAGCACAGCGACCCTCTCCCCTTCCCCTGCACTACATGGGACCAAGCCCCAGCTGAAATGCAGCTCCTAGGCAAAGGAAAGGCCGGCCTTGCTGAGCCTGCTTCTTGCTGTTTCTTTCAGGGCCACCAGCTGCCATGAACTCTGGCAAGCAGATGCTGGGTGAGGGGGGAGATTTGCTCAGACCCCTCAGGTCCTACGCTCTTGCCGTAGTCCCCAGTGGTGTACGACTTTGCAAACCAGCTTTTCAGGTACAGCAGAATTTGTTTGCGTTGGCGGAAACAACAGTTATGCCTCCCTACGGTCCTAGTAGTGAACAGACCACTGCCTGCTGTCAGTGTAAGATACCCATGTGGAAAAGTCTCCAAAAACAGACTGTAAAATCTGTCCTTACCTTTAGGTTATTAATGGAGAGGAAGTAAACACCAGCACAAGCAGCTACTGCTGTTCCCAGGGAAGCAACCCAAGAAACAAGATGAATAATATTACGAACAACACTCTCTCTTAAAGAAAAATTTAGAACTTCTCGGTTTACATCAGTGAGGTCTTCCTGTAAGGAAACAATTCCTAATGAATAATTCCTTAGTCAACAGGATAAAGCAAAACTTGTTTCAAGTAACTACCTGAGAGACTGAATGAAAGGTTATTTCTCTGGAAGATGGGCAGAGTAATATCCTGGGGACATCTACTGGACAACTTTGTGTTCCTATGCTAAAGGTCTTTTCTCTGGAGAGCTATACTGTATTTCACAGATAATATTACAAGCTTGCCTTTTGTTTATGAAATGGTTAAATAGCAGAAAGGAAAAACAGAAGAAATATTCTGTTTGGCAAATATTTAATAGTCCCAGAGATGCATTCAGTAGAACAGAAGCACACGAATATTTCCATGTAGCTTAAAGAGAAAAGAAAAACAAGTAGCTAAGCCAACTCCAGGAGTTCAAACCAAATGAAACTGAACGGTCAGGAAGACTTAAGTTGAGTCCTTGAGTTACTCTGACAGAGATTTGTATGCACATACACAAATTTGCAGAGTGACTCATGCATGCTAGTTTTGTACCTTTCTACATTTTTGTACCTCCTGTGTTTTGTACCTTTATTTGTGTGCTGAGATTCTTTTGTTTCAGCTTCACAGCTTTTTCATTAGTTATATTGAAGTCCCAACTGCAGAGAAGTTTGCTAGTATTTCCAGAGTATGTCTGAGGGTTAATGAAGTTCCTGCAGAAGGATTTTGCCATGCTGCAGTGAAAATAAAATTTGAGAGTTGCATAATGAGGAAACATATCAAGTCTGTACAGCGAGGCAAGAAGGGAGATTTGTCAGTTTTTCTATCCTGTCCCAATGCTACTGGACCTATGTCAGAGCACATATGACAACATGGAAAATAAACTTTAATGTAACAAACAACTCTCATTTCCTTCTTCTAGTTGTTGCTGACAATCTTCACCTCTGGAAGGCCACATCAATACCAGAAGATATTAGGAGCAACAGCTTACAAAAGGGGTATCATGTTATTCATTGTTTTGAACTGGGATTCTTTGCACATCCCTTACTATTTTGCAGTTATTCTTAATTTGTCTAATAAAGGTTTGGTTTCTGCAGATCGTCTTTTGAGCAGAAACTTTCACTAAAACTCTAGACCTGGAAATAAGGACTTACAGAAACATATTCAGGTAATTATTACTGCCAACCATTGACAGGGTGGGTTTTTTTGTTGTTGGTGGTCTGGGTTTTTTTTTCCCCCCTTAATATAAGTGAAATAAGAATATGTAGTTAGATTACCTGAACAACAAGATAAGAAAACAGATGACAAAATATATTCCAACAGTGAAAAAATAGGCCAGCTGCATGTTGTAAGATGGACCATTCTCTATTTTACTAATGGTAGTATTGGTGTAAAAGCCATAGTAGAGTACTGTTTGTTCAAAATAACCCTGAAAAGATACAGACATCATTCAGAATGTTTGCATATGGTGGGAAGTATCATTGTCTAAAGCCCAGTTAATGGAAGTGGGAGCTATCCCATTCCCTGCTGTGAAATCACGGGTGCAATTAAATTTCTAAATATCAGGCCCTTTGTTTTCCTTCTACCAGATAAAATCTTCCATAGTTTTGAGAGCTTCTAGAGATATATAAATTACTTTTATCCTTCTTAAGATTCATGAGCATTCAACACCTTTGCAGGATTTGGTCTTTTCTGAAAATTCCTGAAGAGGGAAAGGCTTAAATGTTTATTTGTTGGGAGCAAGGTTCTGTAATGACAAATCATATCAGCTATGAAAGAACCAGGAATGAAGCATGTGATACTCAGCACTGGAGTTACTGCATTATAGCTTCAGTCACTCCTGCTATGGTGACTGTACTTTGTAAAGTTAAACAGTCTTACAAAATGCAGCAATTTTAGAAGGAAAAAGTTGACACCTTTCCTCTTTAAAAAGATCTCTTCTGAACTAAGCATTAGTAAGAGCAGAGTGTTGTTTATTAGCTAGAGAAATCCTTTAACAACAGTAAAATTGACAATTTTTTTACAGCAAAGACAGGGAAAAAAAAGAGTAAGTTGTCTTCACAGATCACATAGTTGATGAATACCAGTAGAGTTAAAGCAATGCAAAATCTTCCTTTAATAACAGCCTGGAACTTTATTCCCTGAATGTAAAGATCTCCACACAATGAAGAGATCTACACAATGTAAAGATTGTCCTATTTCCAGGC